GCACCGGTGCTTTTACAGACCTAACCTGAGGGTACCTACATAATTTTGAAGACTTGTGAAAGACTTGAGGATCTGTAAAAGCAGAGCATTGTGGTGCCTGCTTGTAGGCAGTTAATTCCCCAATGGCATTAACAGTCTTCAGGCTGGATGCCCGGTCCTGCAAAGCACATTTACTCTTGTGCTCAGAGCAGAGCTCCAGAAAAGTCAGCATGCTGAGTAGTGAGCTACCTGCACTAGCTGGTCAGCAGTGTGAAGAACTACAGTGAACCTTCAGATTCTAGTTCAGCCTGCTCTGATGGAAGTGGGAGGTTTGTGGGTTTTGGGGTTTCTGGTGGGGGGTGGGTGGGTGCAGGGTGCAGTTTGAGATAGAAAGGCAAGGTTGCCTGAAGAACTGTGATAGAGATGTCTGGGTTTTACTTGTAGCTCTGCTAACAAATTGCTGGGTGACCTTCTACAAATAACTGTGGTTTTGTGCTGCTCTGACACTTTCCCATTCAATGCAACAGACTTAGGGATGCTACTTGCTTTGTAAAGCACTTTGAGAGAGCCAGAGGAGGTTATTGTTTAGTGTTCACAGAATTTATTTCAGAACCTAGAGTCAGCTCTTGCCACATCCCTTTTCCTCTGAAGACTGCTGATCAGAGAGGGAGGGGTGGTTTTGACCAGGGTTCCAGGGTAAAACAAGTCCTGTCTTTCCTCTACCTGCCTGGAGGGTGATGTAAGTGAAGGAAGTGGTATGGGGTTTACTCTGCTTCAGGCAAGACTGTAATGTGCTGGAAAACATGACTCCATTTAGTCAGCAGCATTATAGAGAACAGAAGGATGAAGGGTAGGTATGGGCAACGTGAAGCATTTGGGATATTTATAAAAATGGGAAATGGCTTTTCTTGTTAAAGTATGGTTGTGCATCATTAAAGGCTACAAAAGCAAAGAGGGAATTTGCTTTCCAAATCAGGAGGAGAGCAATCCTTAGCAGTTGCTAATCTATTTATGTTCCAGTCATGTTCAGAGCATGGCTTTGAGGTCTGAATCTCTTGTAATTGCCTGGAATATGTCATTTGGCAGCAAGATTCATTGTTCTGTTCTCCCCAAGAGGAAGGCTGAGATTTTTAGCTGTAGGACTTCCCTTTCAGTCAAGCAGAGAGACATGGCTAAATTCCCATGTATTGTTTTTTTGAAACAGTATTAATTATGACTTCCATTATAAGCATGTCAGTTTCTGTGTGATCTAGGCAGAAATCAATGCATTTGGTAGGAAACAGCCAGAGCTTTATGTTGGGGATTTGTGCTGGTTTTGGCTGGGACAGTTAATTTTCTTCATAGTAGCTAGTATGGGCTACATTTTGGATTTGTGCTGGAAACAGTGTTGATAAAACAGGGATGTTTTAGTTACTGCTGAGCAGGGCTTACACAGAGTGGAGGCCTTTCCTGCTTCTCACCCCACTCCACCAGCGAGGAGGCTGGGAGGGGCACAAGAAGCTGGGAGGGGGCACAGCCAGGACAGCTGATCCCAACTGACCAAAGGGATATCCCATACCATATGATGTCATGCTTGGCATCTAAAGCTGGAGGGAGAAGAAGGAAGGGGGGGATGTTTGGGGTGATGACGTTTGTCTTCCCAAGTACTTATTACATGTGATGGAGCCCTGCTTTCCTGGAGATGGCTGAACTGCCTGCCTGCCCATGGGAAGTAGGGAATGAATTCCTTGCTTTGCTTTGCTTGTGTGCGTAGCTTTTGCTTTGCTTTTTAAACTGTCTTTATCTCAACCCAGGAGTTTTCTCGCTTTTACCTTTCTGATTTTCTTCCCCATCCCACTGTGGGGGGAGTGAGCGAGTGGTTTGAAGTTGCGCCAGGGCAGGTTTAGGCTAGACATTAGGAAAAACTTCTTCACCGAAAGGGTTGTCAGGCTCTGGAATGGGCTGCCCAGGGAGGTGGTCGAGTCCCCATCCCTGGAGGTATTTAAAAGAAGGATAGATGAGGTGCTTAGGGACATGGTTTAGTGGTGGGATGGCAGGTTAGGTTAACGGTTGGACTCGATGATCTTAAAGGTCTTTTCCAACCAAAGCGATTCTATGTGGCTGTGTGGGGCTCAGCTGTTGGCTGGGGTTAAACCTCTACAGGATTATACATGAGTTTTAGGATCCAGGTTTTGATCCTTGTTGTTTTAAGACCCTTAAACTTTTCAGGATTGTTAGGATGCTTGTTTGGGTTCCTGATTTCTCAAAGGGTCAGAGAATTTTTTTCTTTCCTTTTTCTCAACTTCTTGCTGCCAGGTTTCCTTTGCTATTCTACAATGCTCGAAACATTTAGACATTAAGCCCAGTTAAATGAGAGCAAACTCAAAGCTCTGTGCCTTACATGAAGATTTAGAGGGGCAAGATTCAGCAGGGATTGAAGAGAGTTTTAGGAAGCTATGTAAGATGTGGCTTCAAAAGGGCTTCCAGCCCAACTTCACCCATGTTACTTTGCATGGGAACCTCTCTCCTTTATGCCTTCTCTTGAAGAGAAGTAAGTGCATTTTTAAATAGCAAAGAATTCCTGTAGCTTCCCTTCAAGTTCGCAGGGTATTGTTGGTCATCAGAACCTCTCTATATAGCTCCTATGGAACCGGCAGCTTGGAGTGTAACCATGACACTTCCATGTAAGAAAGCACACATGCTCTGTGCAGCACTCTTCACTGGTGTTGGTAGACCAGGTAGAAAAGCCAATTTTTATTCTATAGATTAATTTCTTTTGTGAATGACAATCTATGCTGACTTTTCCTCCCTGGGGTTTGAAAGTAGAGTTGCTGCCAAGTTTCAACTGAAGATGAGACTTCCTTAGATCCAGGTGCTGTTCTTCCTGCTTCTTCTTTAATGCATGGCTTGATCAAGTGACTTATATGCTGAGGACCTCTAGGGGAGGGAGCTGTCAAGAAAATACCTTTCTTCATGCCTGTCAGAAGGTAGGTCTGCCCCATCCAGGCCTGCTTTGGTACTTCATAGTCTGGAGCAGCTCGCTCTCTCTTTTCTCACTCCAGTATTTAGTTCAGAAAGTTCAAGTGCTCCTGGATTTACTGGCATCTGTTTCTAAAATTGTTCACTATGCTGAAACTGAGAAATCAGCCAGGGGGATGAGCTTTGCTGTAGGCAGGGGGCCTGCTCCGTGTCCTGCTTGCCCAGCCCGACCCTGCCCTTGGCCAGCAGTTGCCACAGCCTGTGTAGATGAGCATAAAGGATTTGCTTCCAGGGAATAAACACTGTGGAGTTCTTGGCCTCTCCTCTGGAAAAGTAGTCTGATAGCTGTCATCCGGATCAAAAGCCCTCAGCACTGAGAGCCCACTCTCCTCTTTCACTCACAAATGGTATACTTCCAAGATGGTGGGGTGTGTTTGGTGGTTGTTTTTTTTTTTTTGCCTCAGAGATCGGTCATTTCGGGAATACCTGTCATTTTCTGAAAGACCCAAAAAATGCAATTTGGAAATAAAGTTAAGGGGTCAAAAACTGCAGTGGTAACATAGGACAGATGTTTGGCTGAGGCTTTTTCAATGGCATGGAAGTTGTGTCATGAACCAAATTTTGTCCAAGATGTCATAGGTGCTTGTCCCAGTAAATTGTGAGGACATGGTAGAAGCACCTTGGGTTCTTAAAAATTGTGCCAGGTCATACAATTACTACTCTAAAATGGCTGTGGTGCCCCCCTTCTTCCCTCGGAATTAAATTTCAACAAAAAAAGCCAAAGTGGATAAAGAAGAAAACTAGAATTTAGCAATTGTTCTTGGATTGAGACTAAACATGAGAAGTTTTGCCTTGAATCTTTTAGATAGTAATACAGGAAAAGGTACAGTATTTTAAGACTCAGTTGTTTTTCTCCAAACTTGGTAAGAGTCCTGTGGGCGGAAGAGGACAGGATGTGTTAAGATGGTTGATTTCAGTGCAAATAGAGAACTCCCAGGTTCTTCCATAGTGCCCTGAATTCGGTAAAAACATGGGTTTTTTTCTTCCTAATGAGCAAATAGCTTACTGTGCCAAATACCTCTAAGCGTGTTTAGGTTTATTCCATTCACACTCAAACAAGATAAGATATCACCACCTTGTAAGAGATCTACAAATACCAGAATCTGCGCTTTTTTTTTTGTTAAAATACCTGCAAGTATGCTGGCTTATAAGTAAGTACCATTGTGGATGGCATGTCATTGACTAAATCATCTGGTGATGGTGGCCACTAGAGCTGTGTCCTCTCATCAGCTCCGAGCTGTTCTGTGTCACCCTGGGTGGGGGCATGAGTCAGATTTTTTAAAAAATCCTGTTTCCCTTTAGAAGTAGAAATAAGTAGCAGCCTTCTTGTCTTGACTTCACAGCTCTTTAGTGGTGCGTTTTTTTGTATTTAACCCCAAAAGATGTTTCGCTGTGTCTGTAGTTTGAAAATTACTATGGCCAGTTTTATTACAGAGGGCTTAAACTCAATTCCT